CTAGCCCACGTCAACTAGTACCCGCGTCGCACCACCAGCACCTCGACTCAAGCCGAGCCGACCCCCGTGTCGCGCCATCAGCAACCTATGTTGCCCAATACAGCACAGTAGTCTCGTGACACCCTTGCCATGTGTTTCACACTTCCTCAGCCCCCGCTGAGCCAATTTTCAAGAAGAAGGAAAAGTTCAAGTTTTTCTTACCTTGTTGCAACACATAGAAGAAGAACAACAACAATAGACGACTCTTTGCAAGGGCAAGGGAATAAGAAAGCTAGGGAGGGGAAAAATTGCCTCCGACTTTTCTCTTCCTTGTTGGAATTATGATTGTTCTCCAAATTTATTTAATCACCTGCTTAAGGCAGAATTATGAAGGAAATATTTGTGAGAACAAGTTCATTTGAGCAACATCTATGAATGCAATTAACAATTAAAAGGTGGAATCATGCTTGTATGCACTCAAAAATAAAACTTGACCTATGAATTCAAGGCCTAGTGAGTGTGGTGAACCAAGACTCAACTCAAGAACAAAGTGAGTTGAGAAATATTTTACCTTTGTAGATTCCTCTTTGCATAAGTAAAGGTTATTCACCCAAGAGATAGGGCCTTCATTTCTTACTTCTTAGCTCCATGGATTTCTTGGAAGAGAATGGTAGAATAGATTCTCCAAGTTCCCAAAATAGGGAACATCTAAGTCTCCACACCAAGGAGAGTATTGATGAAGAGATAAGTGACATAGAGTAAGTAAGATTGCTAGCGAAGAGATAAGTGACCTAGAGTAAGTAAGATTGCTAGCTATTTTCCTCTCGGTTGGCTGGCCTCTTAGAGAGAAAATAAGAGCTTGTGTTCTCTCCAATTTCCTCAAAGAAAACCCTAATAAATTTTGGCTATAAAGTTCTTTATATAGTCCCTTCACTTAAGTGACAAAAGAACCAAAACCCTTCATTCTTTAATGTGGCATGCCTTAAGGGTTCATTGGGCTTTCAAGCCCTTTGTGTTTTCAAGTTGTCATACAACTTGAGTTATTGGACTTAACATTCAAATCTCATTGGACCTTGGGGCTTAAAACTAACCCGAGGTCTAATACGAACTTATTCGTTTGATTAATTAGCATATTAATTAATCCTAGCCATAAATAATTAAATTATTTAATTATCCTTACTCATCTCCATTGTTTCTTCAATCTCTACCTTACACGGTGTACGATCAATTAGGTTCCTTTTAGCAAGGCAGTGGGCGATTAGAACTTTAGAGCTTTCCACAAACCATGAGTTACACCTAGCAATATGGCATGGCTACCCAAGCTAATCAGAAGAGGTGGAGAACCTATTCAGTTTAGGATTACAATGCAATACAGTCTTTCTCTAATACAATACTCTTGACCACATTGTTTGGTTTGATAGCTTATTCATGTCTACTATCCAATGTGATTCATTTACTTATATGATTACCTTGAATGTGATTTGGAACGACTTCCTAAATTTCATTCATGCTCTAGCCAGAGATTCTTAATCATATCATAGAGTATTCTCCTTCAAACAGTTTGAAGGTTATAGGTCATTTGTTGTGCATTCACTTGCCTCCATGGCTAAGTGGCATAACTCCAACTATGTCGTGATTACCCTATGACAAAGTGACTTTGACATAGTCAAAGATCAAGGACCTAAATGATGCCTCAGGTCAAAGGACTATTTTGCATTATCCCAACTATGAGTTCTCATGTGACATGAGTATGAGAACTTCTTGTTGATCATGTTCAGTGGACTCATTCTCTATTGAGCACCAATATGCTTGTCTTGGTGTCAGTCACACCAATGACTCAAGACCAGTTATTCTCCCTAAGAGAAGACATGACACGTACTGATCTTAACGGACTGTCAATACCCAATTGGCAATCCTATGATCAGGAACGTTTATGGTATGTATGCGAAAGAGAATGGTCTCACAAATCTAACTTCTTTAGATCACATTCTCCCAATTACATATTCCTTGGACTTATCGTTTAAGCATATAAAATTTATATAAGACGACTTTAAACAATAATCTTTGCCCTTTATATTAAACTAGATTAGTTTAACATGTGAAATGTACGGAAAGTATCATCATATGATTGGCCTTTAGGGCATATTTCCAACAAATTAAATAGGTATTGGGGCAATTGGTTTCCTTTTCCTAGAAGAAGTCTATCTGCAAATCAAGAAATGAGATCTAGTTCAAATTGGGAAACAACTCTACAAGCCTATGCAGTATAGATTTCTACACCTACTACCATTTTCCCACATGCAGCCCAGCATGTGTAGGGGCATTTGTGGAGCTTAAAATAATCCCAATATTCTAGAGGCGACACTTGGACTTTTGCTCAAGAAATACAAGATTGCTCTTATTAAGTGGGCAGGCTCCTCAAATACTCCAACGCACAGCTCACACCCTTGAAGGTCCCAACAGCTGAATATGACTGCCCACAGCTCACCTGCCCTTGGCAAGGAAAAGTCAAAGCATTAAAGATAAGTATTAACTGCCAAATCTTATTTTTAATACATTCCCAATTAAGGATTGACTCCATTCAAGTAAGTAATCCCTATTTAAATCAATTAGGGTAATTACTCCATTATCTCAAGATATTATTTCCTATTTAATATCTTGAGAATATTCCTCCATAAAACCTTGGCTAATAGGATGTCGTCATGTGTAGGGTAAAACTCTAACACCATGGCCTACCACTCCCCTATATATACCCCATATTCTACCAAAATTCGATAAGCTTTTGCTACCCCAAAAAAAACCCTAAACACTTTAGCCACAGTTATCCACCACTTCTGGAGGCCGAAAATACTCACAAAGGCATTTCAACCTTTCCCTGGCCACAAGTCTGGCTTCCACACCAGCAGCGGGTTTCAAACCTGAGACCTCCAGTTTTTAGTTTTAAGGAAGCCTTAGAACTAAAGTTTGAATGAATGGAGGATAAAGATTGTATGAGGCTAAAGTTTGATTATTAGGTGTGTATTTATTGATAAATTGTAGTTTTATACAGTGGCAGATCTAGGATTTTAACATTGGGTGGTCCTAATATAAAGCTAAAAAAATTAGATGAAAATAACATTGAAACATTAAACAATCAACGACAACTTTTTATTCTTAATCTTAATATAAACAACAATTTGATGCAACCCTTTTTTTACCCTTTATTAGCAAGATCACTAATCCCTTACAATTGAGAAAAGTCACTTCTTAAAAGCACTGAATGAATATAAATATCAAGTTAATCTTAAAATGTATAGGTATGTGAAGCCTGAAGAAGAGAACGGAGAAGAGATGGTGGCCTTCAGTTGGGTGGGTATTAGGGAACGGGGATTAGGGATTAGGGACTAGGGAGTTCATTTGGGTGGAGTGGAATTGTTTGAAAGTTGAACCATTTTTGTTTTGTGTTTTTTTTTTTAATAAAAAATGGTGAGGCTCTCAGCCTCCCACGTGACCTAGGATGGTGTTCTCAAACAATACATCAATACTCACTATTTTACTTAATGCTCCACGTCACGTCGTGGACCTAGGATACCGTTTAAAAAGTAAATAGTCTTCTTCTTCTCTTCTTCTGGTTTGGCAGAAAGCCAGAGTATTTGTGCAGTCACTGCTTTTCCCCTCCACCATTGCCCAGACTTGGGTGGTCCTTGGATGTCCTCACAGCCAATTATCTGAGCTTCTGGGTGGTCCCGGGACCACCCAGGTCCCTTAATAGATCCGCCCCTGGTTTTATGTTTACTTTCATCTTGTATTTGATGGTAATTATGCAAAAGGCTACAAAAGACAAGTTACATTTACAATTTAAGTTGGGTGTAGAGAGATGTTATATGGGTTCAAATAAACTTTCCATAAAGATTTCTTATACCTATGTCTATAGAATTACACTTATTACAATGTTAAGTAAGCTAGGTGATTTTCACATTTCATTTTTAACCTTTCACATGTCCTTTTTATTTGTGGTCATTAAATAAATCAAATGAAAACAACATATCGTACATGTACAAATTTCTTAAACAAAATATTTGTTTACCCTACACCATCTCAATGATTTGTTAAAGTACACATTTGTTCTAAAACTATTGTTTGTACCATTGTTCACCAACCCGAAACTACTAGACATCGATCAATTGTATACCTTCAAAGACTCACTAAAGAGTTTGTGTGGAGGCACCTCTGTCGAAGCACATGAGTTTCTTTCTAATTGGGAGACCAATCATTACTAGAGTCCCACATCGACCGCAAATGACAATAGAGGACTCTTCTCAATTTTAAAAGGAGATCACTATTCCATAATTAAGTTTCTTTGGACCTAAGATTCCTTAATCGATAGTTAGATCTAATTAATGATGATTATGTTTGAACCTCAGTATCATGTAAACTCTTACATAAATGAAAACTTCTCTACCTTCGTGAATGTAGCCCAACTTAAGGTGAACTCCTTATGCCTTGTGTTTGTTTTCTTATCCCTTATTTCTCTGCCGACTATCTTTATTAGGTGACCGAAACAACCTTGAAAATATCACTCCTTAACACTTTCATTGATTCGAAGTTAACTTTTATCTAAAAAAGAAATATTTCATTTAGAGGAAGATGACAAAGTAAAGATAATAGGTTAGTGGTGATAGAAAATATTAAAGTACAATTTTGCCTAGTCTATTTGAGTGACAAATATGAGGCAATTAAATAGGCAACATATTACGTCAGCTATTATGGTCCCATTTTGTCATTTTGTTTCCGCATACAATTTAAGATGCTTTTAGTAGTTAGAAACCAATCATTAATAAAAATTAATTTAAAAGTATTTTATAACAAATGAAAACGCTCTTGATGAAAATTATTTTGGAACCAATCATTTATCTTTTAGTTGAGTGGTAATCAAGTCTTTTTACATCACTTTTTCTTGAATAATAAAATAAACTTAATTCATACAAAATAAAATCAATTCAATTTACACCCTCAATTTATGTGTTGATTTATTAATTTCAGTAAATTTCTCCCCCCACCCCCACCAAAACCTCTCAACCTCCATTTTGTTCATGCTCCACTTTCGAACAAACCCTAACAATTCAACAAATACACACCACTTCCGAACAAACCCTAACAATTCAACACATACAGAGCGACGCGGTGAGCAACTCAGTTGTCAATGGCATGCGAATCGTTGACTTGAATCGAAGAGAGAGGATCTGAGTCATCGGCGATATAATTTAGATTGTGTATTGACCCGGTCTGATGGGTGCTGCGGGCTCCAAACTCTAGAAGGCTCTCGGCGACCAGTTTCCGGAAGGCGAGCGACATTTCGGGCTCGAGAATTTCGGCAACACTTGCTATTGTAACAGCGTTTTGCAGGTTTCTCTTCCGCATCCTTCAAATTCAATCGTTTTATTAGTAAAATTTTAAAATTAGGCTATTGATTTTATAGAAATTGTGTAAGATTTGTGGTAGAACGAGAATTACGTGAAGCATATGCAAATTTTGAGCTGTGGTTGTTTCGAAATTGAGTAATGGCGCAAGTTAAGTGAATCGGATTGGATATTGTAGTTCCGCTTGGAGAGTTGTCCAATTAGGTGTCGTTTTGTGGCTGTTTATTGTCGTTTAGTTTTGACTTGTTAGCTAGGTTAGCCAATGCTAGGTTTGGGGTTGAGATTGTTGTAGCATTCTTTAGTAACATTAACGGTCTGCTTCCCAAGGTTATCATCGATTTCATAATGCGAGCATTTTCTGTTTTTCTATTCAGTTTTCCGGTGGTGCTGAAAATTTTATTTCTGGGTTCCGGGTGAACTTGTTGAAATGCTAGTGCATCGTGCAATGACCAGCTTCTATTTTGTTTGTCTGAATGGATGAGCACTGGGTGAAATGCCTTTTAGACACTCATATATTTCCAATTTACTGCAATTGGGATTCTTTGTCTTGAAACTGAATATTTTATAAAGGAAACCGCGTACCTTTTGAGGAAGATGATGTACTGGGAGTGACGGTGGACGCATGGTAGAGATGGAAATCTTGAAGTCTGACATTTGGAGGGACATTCTAGTGATGAATGTGGTGGTGATTGAGTGTCTTGTGAGGTGGCAATTGGGTCGAGTTCTGGGGCTTCTGGTGGAAGGTCTGGGGGTGCAGTATCAGGTGCAGTCGTTGGTGGGGGCGTAGGTGGTGTGGCCATGGTGATGGTTTGGTTAGTGATGTTGGTACGATGCTGATCAGACTCTGTGAGTTGTGGTGTGGGAAGGACTGCCTCATCTTATTCGTGATGAGGTGTTTGATTTTGAAAAGCAAAGGTATTTTCATAGAGGATAGCCGACAAAAATGCACCCTACAACCCTTTTGACCTGGAGGATAGGCAATAAATATGCAACTGCGTGCTCGTGATATTCCAACTAAATAAGCCTATTTTACAATTGGATTCTATGAAAACATTATTTAATGTATAAATCAATGCTTTATCCTTTTTGGATTGTTGGAAACCATTTTTTCTCAAGTAATCATCACCCCAACAAGAAATTTAGTAATGTGTAATTTTTTTTTTTTTTCCGGCTTGCTTTCTGATTACACTCTCTTTCTCGGAGGTATAAGCTTTTGCTTCTCTCTCAACATATTTTGTTTGTATGTTAATTTTGGAAAAGTTCCCAGCAATTGTGTGTGAGTGTGTATTTTTTTATTAATTTTAATTTCTGGATTAAATTGTATTTTTTTGTTAAGTATTTTTGGATTAAAACTAAGAGCGTTGATTTAAGTTTGCAATTTTGAAATTCAGTTTCAAGTGTGTTCAAATTCAAGACAAGAAAAATTGTGATGATCCCCAAGAACATAGGAAGTAAAAAATTTTGATGATTAGATTTTGAAATTTCATTTTTCCCAAATCCATATCGACATGGGTTTGTGGTTGTTTTAAAGAAGACAATGGCATCTGCTTAACTCAAAGCTTTTCTTTCAATGGTTACTCAGTAATAAGCAAGCGTATACGATATAAATTTCTGATTGAGTAAAGTTTGACGCTTTATGTGTTTTAGTAGGCGTGTGAATTTTTTTCAAGTCATATCTTAAGTGATTCGTTTTTGTACATGGTATGAGTTAGTAAACATAATGACAGGAAGAAGACTATGGTTTAGATTATTTGTGTTCCTATTCTTTGCTAGAATGGTTTAGATTAATCTCTTCTTCTGCTCCCTACTTGACTGAAAAAACCGTTAGTTACAGTTTTATGGTGAACAAAATATGCTCCATTTATTTTACGCTTGTTTCATTCTTCTTGCTTGAAATGTTAGTAAATTTTGACTAATTTTGGGAGTTGAAATGGATTTTGAAATTGGGTAATGGTTATTTATATTGTATTATTAGTTAAAAAAAAAAAAAAGAAATCATCTTCGTATCCTTCAAATAAGGTGAATGTAATTGTGTTGAATGATTTCCTTCATATATTGGCTTCTACAGGGTTGGAAAAGTTGCCTGATAGAGATTTTGGCATAGGTGTGTGTAAGCGGACAGAGTACTTCATCCCCGAGGCAAGTCTTTTTACACAAATTCGTGTGGAATATATAGTTGTATACTGATTTTTTTTTTATAAACAAAGCTAAAAGTACAACTTTCTTTGTGTACTATTATTTTTAAATGGGATTCTTTTGACAATTTTTGGCTTTTGATTTTGGATTGGAATTTTGTTTTCACTGACAAATTTGGCTGCTAGCTTTTGGAAATGAGTCAAATTGCTGTAGAAATACTGATTTAGTAACCTAATATTAGCCCTTTCCTATCTTTGAGGTGGCTCTTGCATGTCTTTACAAGTGACAAAAAAAATGGAATGAAAAATAACTGACTTATTCAAAACCAAATATAATGGTCTTATGGTATAACACCTGCAAGGAAAAGATACCAAAGAACTCAGATTCTTGCTACCTCATTTCAGAAATATGACTTTGAAGTGATATTTTTTATGGGATCACTAGGTGGGATTGAAAGAGAGGAGGTTACATACATCCCCATTTTCGTGTTCCTTCTACTGTTGTCATTTATTAAAACAATGTTTCTTGGCAGTTGTTTTCTATTTTTTTTTTCTTTTCTTTATTGTTGTTTTTCAGTTGGGAAATTGATTAATATGGTCAGTTAAAGCCGTTCATTAAAAATTGTTTGACCTTCTATAAAGAAAGACAAAGAAAATAAAAAAATGGTCATTTATTCATATTAAGTTTGAGCAGAAAAGGAAAAGAGAATCAGGAATGGCCATCTAGCTAGAGGGAGGACTACTTTTACAAGTGTTTTCTTTTTTTTGTTTTTGTGGATTTTTCCCTTTTCTTTTCTTCTCAACTGTTATGTTGCCTGTTATTCATAACAATTTCTCACTCTGAGCTAAACAAGATTTCGCTGGTTCCTTATTGTTTCAGTGACAGTTTTTGAATCTATGAGCATGTTTGGGAATTGAAGAGAATTGTGAATGTTGGTTTGTTGTGTTTGCTTGAAATTTTAGTTATTTGTATGTAATTTTGGGAGTTGAAATGGGTTGTTAATCTGTGTAGTGGTTGTTTACTTATGTCATTTTGGGATTGCATAATGTTGCCCATTATCTGCAATTGAGATATCCTAACATCACTGTTTCAATTTCTTGCAGGCTTTCCGTTCCAAGTACAGAGGCAGTGTTCCTTTGCTTGCATCAATCTTTTGGAAGTGTTTGACAAAAAAAAACTTTTGGAAGTGATAATAACTGCTGTTGTTACAGGTTAGTCAAAAAATAAATAAACTATCCATAGTATTTCAATTTCATAGCATTTTAAAATCCTTGCTTTTGTGACTGATATGATTATTATGTATTTCCTTTATTTAATTTATATTTAGGAGTTATGAATATTTTACAATTTAATTTATGCATGTTTCATTTTATTACTTGCCAGCTATCAATCTGTTGTTTGGCGTTTTAATTTTTTGCACATGATGCTAAAAAGAACAAGATATAGCAAAAGAAATCAGGCAACGCAAGAAGATCATACTTCTAACCCTTCAAATGGAATAGAAATGTTCAACGAAAATGTTTATCATGCTGATAATGCACATATGTTGCTTGAAAGCTCTTCCAAGTAAAGTTTGGTCATGCAACAAAAGCGTGACTTTCGCACTTCTGAAATGGCTGGCCTTAAAAAATTTCTCAAGCCCAAAACAAAAGACAAAAACAAAAAAAAAAAAGAACACATTTCCTGTAGCGATTTGAATACAGTTGAAACAACTGCAGATGAGATCGAGTTTGACAATTTAAAGACTTATTTTACCATGTGGATTTATCTGCTTTAATTGTTTTTTGAATTATTTAGAAATGGATGTGTTAAATTGTGGTGGTTAAGGTTTCAAAACCCGCAGCGGAGCGCGGCGTTTTTGCTAGTTTAATCTACAGTAAAACCCAAAACACTCTGAAACACTGTTCATAAGCACTGTGTTCTTCCTGTTTTACCTCTGCTAAGTTTGCATTATTACATTTTTACAGAGACAAAAAAGCCCCGCACTCATCTCTTTCCTCCCGATTTCTTCCTGCCTGGCTGTCGTCCTGTTTTACCCCTGCTCACTTGGTTCGACTTCTCCTCACCAAGCAACCACTCTACCCCAGATCTGTCAAATTGAAGTTCCTCTCCTTCAACCTTTGCATGTTGGATTTCACATCAACAGCATCTCCCTATAACCTTGGAGCCTTGTTTGGATTCAAGCTTTCCGACGGTAATTGGATGATTCCTCCGTCACACGCCATCAAGGTTAGTCTGAAACGATTCCTACCTTATTGACCTATTGCATGTCAAAATCGGCTTCAAATTTGTGATTTAATATAATTGGGCTTTTTTGAAAAGAATTTCATGATTTTGTCTAATCCAATTTAACGGTTAGAAATTTTGCCTGGGGACTGCAATTTCATCTGCTCCAAACAAATAGATTCTTTTTATTCTGAATTTAGAAAATTATATTCGAATTTGTTTTACATCTGATTCAGTTGGATTTAGGGATTGTGTTTTAGTGTTTCCTGGCCTGAGTTGTATATAAAGAAAAAGAGTGATTTTTTTGTATTGTAAAGAGTTCATCAGGATCATAGACATGAGTCTGATATTATCTAGTAAGATGCCGAGTCCTCCTGCATTCATATAATTATATTTATGAGCTGCTTTTCTGGGTTTTTTGATTTTGTTTGCTTATCTGGTATATATTGTGACACTGCCTCCAACATTATCAGTTTATACATGAAAAACGTAACACTTGAGCCAATCTAACCATTTATTTTGAGCACATCACATCAGCAAAATAATAAAACATATGATAGCGGGGTTTTTCAAGTCAATTTTTTGTTGGCATGTTGTTCATGTAAGTGTTGATAAATGCGAGTGCTTATGGCATTTTATGACAAAGAAGAAGAAGAATAAAAGTATGTATGCTATAACATTATGAGTTTGAGAATTGAGACGTGAATTGTATGGAGGTAAGCAATAATTATGTGATTGTTTTTTCGCTAAAAAGATTGTGTGACTTTTTGATATATTGTTCATTACGAAACAAGGAAGAAAATGATACGATCTCTAACTATTCCACTTTGTTATAAGCAATATTGTTTGGTGAAATAGTTATGTTAAGATATTGGAGAAAATTAAAAATATTTAAAATTAATTTTGAGGGGTTTCTCATTCTCCAGGTGAAATTTGGATAACAATTCTCAAGATAAATGGTGCCACAAAGTGGCATATGAAGCAAGGCTCTTGTTAATTTGGCTAAACCCAAATACCGAATTCCCTCATTTTTCTCTCAAATTCTGCACATTTTCGCTTTCTCAAATCAACCGCATATCTACCATCGATGGAAAATGAAGAAGTAGCTCTGTCATCAAACCCTAACCCTAACCTCCTAGTTGCAGATCCATCCCTCCAAAAGAAGCACCAATCAATGCTTGACCGCCTCTCCAACCGCCACCAAACTCGTTTAGATAACTCACTCACCCGTCGATCTGCTGAGTCCGACTCGTCCTCTTCCCCTTCCTTCGAGTCCACATCAAATTTCCTCTCCCGCTTTTCCAACTCCAAGAGCTCCATCGAGTCCCAACTCGCCCAATGCCGGCTCTGTGATCCGACTCAAGTCAAATCCCACCTCGACCAAATCTCCTCCTCCATATCCGATCTCGAGAAGCTCGTTGCTGAGAACTCGTACTTCTTACCTTCCTATGAAGTTCGGTCCTCGCTCAAGACGACGTCGGATTTGCGGCAAAGTCTTGAGGTTTTGAGCGCCGAGTTGTTACCCAAAAAGAAATTCTCTTTCAGAAACAAACCCATCAGAAAAGACCCAATCGCCGAACCCAAAGAGGAGGAGAAAGAGCAGGAACCTGAGAAGAAATCGGGTTTCCGGGTTCCAGACTCCCCGGGTTTCTGGAACAAGAAAGGAGAGATTTTGGTGCATAATTTTAAGGGATCGGAAGTGGGAGAGTTTTCAATTTCGGACCTTGATTCCTGTGAGGTGAGGCTAATGGGCTCCGTGAGAGCGCTTTTTGTTCACAGATTAAGGAATTGCAGGCTTTATACTGGCCCTGTGACGGGTTCAGTTTTGGTTGATGGTGTTGAAGGGTGTGTTTTTGTGATGGCCTCGCATCAAATTCGGATTCACAATGCGAAAACGAGTGATTTTTATCTGAGGGTGAGGAGCCGGCCAATAATTGAGGATAGTTGTGGGGTGAGGTTTGCGCCATACTGTTTGACATATAAAGGAATTGAGGAAGAGCTTAGGGAGGCCAGTCTTGACAAAGAGACAGAGAAATGGAGCAACGTGGATGATTTCCTGTGGTTGCGGGCTGTTCAGTCACCCAATTGGTCTATTTTGCCGGAGAATGAGAGACTTGGTTTGGTTGATATTTCAAAGTCCGTGGAGAGTTAGTTTGTTATCCATTTTGTTTGTCACGAGGGTGTGCTTGGAGTATAAAGGTAACATTCTTTTGTTGTATTTGGTGTTAATATGGATATGGATTACGGAAATGTTGAGTCTATTGGTTTCTCTAGCATTCAGTACTTAAGCCTATGGTTATATGAATTTACATTCTTACTCAGTTTCAATTTTATCTGCCAAGATGATTTTGAGGTTGCAGTGTGAAATTGTGGGAACTTGGAACTAGCTCATGTTGGATGAGATTGGTTCTGGAAAGGGTAGTGGAAAAGATATGGCAATCTCGTTGCTCATACCCAATCAAGAAGTCAAGATTTTTATTTGAAATGTCTTGTTTAAATACATTATTTTGTTCTGGAGACGCGGGGTCTGGATTTATAAGATATTTTCCTCGGCTGTGAGTTTGATGATCTGTGGTGTCTGTTGTGTGGGTTGTTATTGGTTGATATTATAGACATGTAAAAGTGAAGTCTCAAGTTATATAAACTTTTGTTTTTTTGACACAGTAAGCTGATAACTATAGGTAAGTTGTAGTTTAAATCCCAAAATTACAAATGGATGTTTAGCAATGGGGAAAGAATTCAGATGATTCATTTAACGTTTTCAATTATATCAGACAATTTTTCTCAAATGATTGAGGCTGCATGTGTATATTTGCATATTATTTTAAGAGAATGCGATTCGATTGGAATAAAGGGTGTAAAAGGCACCCACGTGGGAGTGCTGGACTTCATGGGGGAGCATGAATAGTAAGTAAGAGGCGCTTTGGATTTCCTTACCTTCTTGGGATTAATTCCCGTCTCTATTTTGTTCTCATTAAAATAGTGCTTCATATATGACAAAGATTTTTACATACTTGATGCGCATGTAGCTTGATCTACAATTTACGTTTGATTGTTAGCATTGACTGCCTATTTGCTTCCCCTTATGAGCTTTAGCGTACATTTTGTATTCTCCCTTTATTTGAGATTAAAGTTTAACAGTGTAAGGAGATCTAGTGGAAAGGAAAACATATTCTTAGATTGCCAGGGATTAAATTTAGAATTAACCCTAGCATCAAACAGTCGTTTCTTTTAATGTGAACAATTTCACAAGTATTCATGTTTAATAAATCAACCCTTTCTTTCGTTTTGTTTTTAAAAAGTTCTCAATTGATTGACCACTTTCAGTTGGTTTTCATGAGTAGAAAGTGAAGTACTTGCCACAACCCTTTCTCTGGGAACTTGCTTTGGCGCTCTTAAGATGGTGAAAATGACTTGATGGTAGTTCGCAACTTGTGAGTTCCTGTTCGAGTCAGTTAACTTCCTTTCTGTAAATGGGTCTTTTTTACTCTGCTGGTTTCAAGAACATATTGCATCTGTTTGCAAATATGAAATCCTGATATCAATTCTCAAGATGAATGGTGCCACAAAGTGGCATATGAAGCAAGGCTCTTGTTAATTTGGCTAAACCCAAATACCAAATTCCCTCGTTTTTCTCTCAAATTCTACACATTTTCGCTTTCTCAAATCAACCCCATCGCTGCCATCAATGGAAAATGAAGAAGTAGCAGCTCTGTCATCAAACCCTAACCCTAACCCTAACCTCGTACCTGTAGATCCATCCTTCCAAAAGAAGCACCAATCAATGCTCGACCACCTCTCCAACCGCCACCAAACTCGTTTAGACAACTCACTCACCTGCCGATTTGCCAAGTCCGACTCGTCATCTTCCCCTTCCTTCAAGTCCACATCAATTTTCCTCTCCCGCTTTTTCAACTCCAATAGCTTCATCGAGTCCCAACTCGCCCAATACCGACTCAAGTCAAATCCCACCGCAACCAAATCTCTTCCTCCATCTCCGATCTCGAGAAGCACATCGCTGAGAACTCATACTTCTTACCCTCCTATGAAGTTCGGTCATCGCTCAAGACGACGTCGGATTTGCGGCAAAGTCTTAAGGTTTTGAGCACTGAGTTGTTACCCAAAAAGAAATTCTCTTTCAGAAACAAACCCACCAGAAAAGACCCAATTGCCGAACCTAAATAGGAGGAGAAAGAGTAGGAACCTGAGAAGAAATTGAGTTTCCGGCTTCCAGACTCCCTGGGTTTCTAGAACAAGAAAGGAGAGATTTTGGTGCTTAATTTTAAGGGATCGGAAGTGGGAGAGTTTTTGATTTCGAACATTGATTCCTGTGAGGTGAGGCTAATGGGCTCCGTGAGATAGCTTTTTGTTCACAAATTAAGGAATTGCAAGCTTTATACTGGCCCTGTGACGGGTTCAGTTTTGGTTGATGGTGTTGAAGGATGTGTTTTTGTGATGGCCTCGCATCAAATCGGATTCACAATGTGAAAATGAATGATTTTTATCTGAGGGTGAGGAGCCGGCCAATAATTGAGGATAGTTGTGGGGTGAGGTTTGCGCCGTATTGTTTGACCTATAAAGGAATTGAGGAAAAGACCAGTCTTAACGAAGAGATAGAGAAATGTAAAGGAAAATTTGTGAAGGAAAATTTATGAAAAACAAGTTCATTTGAGCAACATCTACAACATGCAATTAACAATTAAAGGTGGAAACATGCTTGCATGCACTAAAAAACAAAATTTTACCCTTGAAATTCAAGGCCTAGTAGTTATGGTGAACCAAAACTCAACTCAAAACAAAGTGAGTTGAGAAACTTTATACCTTTGAAGCACCTCTTTACTTAGCAAAGGTTAATCACCCATGTGAGGGCCTTCTTGCCTTTGTCGCCTTGCTCCTTGGCTTCATGGATTTGGATGGAGGAACTTTGCTTCTTGGCTCCATATCTTCTTGGATATGGATGAAAGAATTAGGTTCTCCAAAAGTCCCCAAAGTTGGAGACCTCTAATTTTCGACACCAATGATGGTTGAGGAAGAAGATGAATGACCTTGGAGGAGGATTAATGCTAGTCAATCCCCTCCAAGGGGGCCGGCCTCCTTGAGAGAAAGGGAGAGCCTTTGTTCTCTCCAATTTCCTCAAAAGAGAACCCTAATGAATTTTGGCGATAAAGTCCTTTATATAGTCACTTCACTTAAGTGACAAAAAGAACAAAACCTTTCTTTCATGATATGGTCGGCCTTCTAAAGGCTTTGGGCTATTTGGGCCCTTTTGAATCTTTAGTCATTAAGTTGTCATACAACTTAAGTAAATGGGCTTGACGATTCGAAGCCCATTGGACTTTAAGGCCCAACACTAACTCAAGGTTTAAAACGAACTTATTCGTTTGATTAATTAACATATTAATTAATACAATTAAACCATTTAATTGTCCTTACTTATCTCTGTCAAATCCTTCAAACATTATCTTACACGGTGTGTGATCCATTAGGCTCCTTTTAGCGAGGCAATGGGCGATTAGAACTTTTCAAATTGATTGTGAATTGAAACTTCCTTTCAATTCTCCCTTTAGTGATTATACACCTTTAAGGCTTCCACAAACCATGAGTGACACCTACCAGTATGTCATGGCTACCCAAGCTAATTAGAAGAGGTTGGAGAACCTATTCAGTTTGGGATTACAATGCAATACGGTCTTTCTGTAATACAATACTCTTGACCACATTGTTTGGTTTGATAGTTTATTCATGTCTACTATCTAATGTGATTTTCTTACTTATATGATTACCTTGAATGTGATTTGGAACGACTTCCTAAATCTCATTATACTCTGGCCAGAGATTCTTAATCATATCATAAATTATTCTCTCTCAAACAGTTTGAAAGTTAGAGATCCCTTGTTGTGCATTCACTTGCCTCCATGGCTAAGTGGCTTAACCCCAACTATGTCGTGGACACCTTCTGATAAAGTGACTTTGACATAGTCAAAGATCAAGGACTTAACCATAAGACAACTATGATGCCTCAGGTCAAAGGACTACTTTGTATTATCTTAACCATAAGTTCTCATGTGACATGAGTATGAAAACTCCTTGTTGATCGCGTTCAGTGAACTCATTCTCTATTGAGCATAAATCATACCAATAACTCGAGACCAATCACTCTCCCTGAGAGAAGACATAGCATGTACTGATCTTAACAGACTGTTAATGCCCAATTGGCAATCCTATGATCAGGAAATTTTAGGATATGTATATGAAAAAGAATGGACTCATGAATCTAACTTATTTAGATCACATTCTCTCAATTACATATTCCTTGGACTTATCGTTAAAGCATATAACATTTATATGAGACAGCTTTAAACAATAATCTTTGCCCTTTGTATTAAACTAGATTAGTTTAACATGTGAAATGTCCGTAAAGTATCATCATATGATTGGTTTTAGGGCACATTTCCAACAATCTCCCACTTGCACTAGAGCCAATCAGCATGGTCATCAGTGATGATACATCTTCTATAGTCATTTCAAAAATTGATGAGAAGTATGACTAGACAATGGATATCTATATGTTATCCATAGAAGCAACCTTGAGATTAATGACGTCACCATTATACGTGATTCTCAATCATATGATTCAGTCTTTCATTTGTGTTTTGATCTTGATGAGACCTTAATTCTCTGGCTTGAGCTATCGCCCCATTAGTGTTGTAGTGTGGGTACACTAGAGACACTAATAGATTAATTTAAACCAAATTAAACTCGCAAGCGCATGAATCAATTGTAGTAATATATGCAAATACGAGATTGATCTCACAGAGATTGCTTTAACACCAATTTTATCGATTAATCACGCTAGACTATATTAAACACACTGATACATTTCCACCTGTTCGCCCAGGCTCCTGTCAGCGAAGTGGCAATTTTTGCAGTCGGGGCGGCGTGCCCTTTTAGGTTATGTCTCATTGAGCATCCCACTCGAACCTTTGGTTACCCCGCCCTGTCTCATCGAGCACTATCCTGACTACCATTACATCGCATCTTAGGCCTCTACTATTGACTATAAGTTGCCACATGGTCTAAACGGCACTTAAGTAGTTCTGCTCTTGGAGACCCGTGCCATAAAGTTGTTAGTTTGCCCATGTGTTCCATGTAGTTGGGCAACTCCTTCTTTGTCTTGGTCGGCTTAAGTGCTCGGGATGTCTCTCTTTGAACCTCTTGGGCCTTGGGCTCCTTGGTCACTTGTTGGGCATGCGCCATTTAGTGGGCCTAAAAGCACCTAGCGTTAACAAAAGTAATATCTATACTACTTTTCCCACCTTCTGCAATTTTTATTTTTAATTTTGTATAAATATTAAATTGAATAAATCAAAATATAAAATCAAAGGGACTAGAGAAGAAGTACAAAAGGTGACGAGAAGTGTTGAAATTCCTTCCCAAATCCCCTCCCCATTAACAAAAAGACAATAAGAAAAAGTAACAATAATATACACTACTTTTGCGTTCCATTGTTGGGCATGAGAAATAGAACTACTTATATGACATGGACATATTATTATGTAACATTTTGTGTTTATGATATAATAATATATGGATAAAGATATTCATATATTTTTAATTTATTGATACGAAATGTTATCGTGACGATATAATTGTGTTATA